CCACATATGCATGCGTGCCCACATATGCATGCGTGCCCACATATGCATGCGTGCCCACATATGCATGCGTGCCCACATATGCATGCGTGCCCACATATGCATGCGTGCCCACATATGCATGCGTGCCCACATATGCATGCGTGCCCACATATGCATGCGTGCCCACATATGCATGCGTGCCCACATATGCATGCGTGCCCACATATGCATGCGTGCCCACATATGCATGCGTGCCCACATATGCATGCGTGCCCACATATGCATGCGTGCCCACATATGCATGCGTGCCCACATATGCATGCGTGCCCACATATGCATGCGTGCCCACATATGCATGCGTGCCCACATATGCATGCGTGCCCACATATGCATGCGTGCCCACATATGCATGCGTGCCCACATATGCATGCGTGCCCACATATGCATGCGTGCCCACATATGCATGCGTGCCCACATATGCATGCGTGCCCACATATGCATGCGTGCCCACATATGCATGCGTGCCCACATATGCATGCGTGCCCACATATGCATGCGTGCCCACATATGCATGCGTGCCCACATATGCATGCGTGCCCACATATGCATGCGTGCCCACATATGCATGCGTGCCCACATATGCATGCGTGCCCACATATGCATGCGTGCCCACATATGCATGCGTGCCCACATATGCATGCGTGCCCACATATGCATGCGTGCCCACATATGCATGCGTGCCCACATATGCATGCGTGCCCACATATGCATGCGTGCCCACATATGCATGCGTGCCCACATATGCATGCGTGCCCACATATGCATGCGTGCCCACATATGCATGCGTGCCCACATATGCATGCGTGCCCACATATGCATGCGTGCCCACATATGCATGCGTGCCCACATATGCATGCGTGCCCACATATGCATGCGTGCCCACATATGCATGCGTGCCCACATATGCATGCGTGCCCACATATGCATGCGTGCCCACATATGCATGCGTGCCCACATATGCATGCGTGCCCACATATGCATGCGTGCCCACATATGCATGCGTGCCCACATATGCATGCGTGCCCACATATGCATGCGTGCCCACATATGCATGCGTGCCCACATATGCATGCGTGCCCACATATGCATGCGTGCCCACATATGCATGCGTGCCCACATATGCATGCGTGCCACATAGCAGCGTGCCCACATATGCATGCGTGCCCACATATGCATGCGTGCCCACATATGCATGCGTGCCCACATATGCATGCGTGCCCACATATGCATGCGTGCCCACATATGCATGCGTGCCCACATATGCATGCGTGCCCACATATGCATGCGTGCCCACATATGCATGCGTGCCCACATATGCATGCGTGCCCACATATGCATGCGTGCCCACATATGCATGCGTCGCCCCACATATGCATGCGTGCCCACATATGCATGCGTGCCCACATATGCATGCGTGCCCACATATGCATGCGTAGCCACATATGCATGCGTGCCCACATATGCATGCGTGCCCACATATGCATGCGTGCCCACATATGCATGCGTGCCCACATATGCCATGCGTGCCCACATCTGCATGCGTGCCCACATATGCATGCGTGCCCCACATATGCATGCGTGCCCACATATGCATGCGTGCCCACATATGCATGCGTGCCCACATATGCATGCGTGCCCACATATGCATGCGTGCCCACATATGCATGCGTGCCCACATATGCATGCGTGCCCACATATGCATGCGTGCCCACATATGCATGCGTGCCCACATATGCATGCGTGCCCACATATGCATGCGTGCCCACATATGCATGCGTGCCCACATATGCATGCGTGCCCACATATGCATGCGTGCCCACATATGCATGCGTGCCCACATATGCATGCGTGCCCACATATGCATGCGTGCCCACATATGCATGCGTGCCCACATATGCATGCGTGCCCACATATGCATGCGTGCCCACATATGCATGCGTGCCCACATATGCATGCGTGCCCACATATGCATGCGTGCCCACATATGCATGCGTGCCCACATATGCATGCGTGCCCACATATGCATGCGTGCCCACATATGCATGCGTGCCCACATATGCATGCGTGCCCACATATGCATGCGTGCCCACATATGCATGCGTGCCCACATATGCATGCGTGCCCACATATGCATGCGTGCCCACATATGCATGCGTGCCCACATATGCATGCGTGCCCACATATGCATGCGTGCCCACATATGCATGCGTGCCCACATATGCATGCGTGCCCACATATGCATGCGTGCCCACATATGCATGCGTGCCCACATATGCATGCGTGCCCACATATGCATGCGTGCCCACATATGCATGCGTGCCCACATATGCATGCGTGCCCACATATGCATGCTGCCCACATATGCATGCGTGCCCACATATGCATGCGTGCCCACATATGCATGCGTGCCCCCATATGCATGCGTGCCCACATATGCATGCGTGCCCACATATGCATGCGTGCCCACATATGCAATGCGTGCCCACATATGCATGCGTGCCCACATATGCATGCGTGCCCACATAGGCATGCGTGCCCACATATGCATGCGTGCCCACATTGCATGCCGTGCACACATGATGCATGCGTGCCCACATATGCATGCGTGCCCACATATGCATGCGTGCCCACATATGCATGCGTGCCCACATATGCATGCGTGCCCACATATGCATGCGTGCCCACATATGCATGCGTGCCCACATATGCATGCGTGCCCACATATGCATGCGTGCCCACATATGCATGCGTGCCCACATATGCATGCGTGCCCACATATGCATGCGTGCCCACATATGCATGCGTGCCCACATATGCATGCGTGCCCACATATGCATGCGTGCCCACATATGCATGCGTGCCCACATATGCATGCGTGCCCACATATGCATGCGTGCCCACATATGCATGCGTGCCCACATATGCATGCGTGCCCACATATGCATGCGTGCCCACATATGCATGCGTGCCCACATATGCATGCGTGCCCACATATGCATGCGTGCCCACATATGCATGCGTGCCCACATATGCATGCGTGCCCACATATGCATGCGTGCCCACATATGCATGCGTGCCCACATATGCATGCGTGCCCACATATGCATGCGTGCCCACATATGCATGCGTGCCCACATATGCATGCGTGCCCACATATGCATGCGTGCCCACATATGCATGCGTGCCCACATATGCATGCGTGCCCACATATGCATGCGTGCCCACATATGCATGCTTGCCCACATATGCATGCGTGCCCACATATGCATGCGTGCCCACATATGCATGCGTGCCCACATATGCATGCGTGCCCACATATGCATGCGTGCCCCACATATGCATGCGTGCCCACATATGCATGCGTGCCCACATATGCATGCGTGCCCACATATGCATGCGTGCCCACATATGCATGCGTGCCCACATATGCATGCGTGCCCACATATGCATGCGTGCCCACATATGCATGCGTGCCCACATATGCATGCGTGCCCACATATGCATGCGTGCCCACATATGCATGCGTGCCCAACATATGCATGCGTGCCCACATATGCATGCGTGCCCACATATGCATGCGTGCCCACATATGCATGCGTGCCACATATGCATGCGTGCCCACATATGCATGCGTGCCCACATATGCATGCGTGCCCACATATGCATGCGTGCCCACATATGCATGCGTGCCCACATATGCATGCGTGCCCACATATGCATGCGTGCCCACATATGCATGCGTGCCCACATATGCATGCGTGCCCACATATGCATGCGTGCCCACATATGCATGCGTGCCCACATATGCATGCGTGCCCACATATGCATGCGTGCCCACATATGCATGCGTGCCCACATATGCATGCGTGCCCACATATGCATGCGTGCCCACATATGCATGCGTGCCCACATATGCATGCGTGCCCACATATGCATGCGTGCCCACATATGCATGCGTGCCCACATATGCATGCGTGCCCACATATGCATGCGTGCCCACATATGCATGCGTGCCCACATATGCATGCGTGCCCACATATGCATGCGTGCCCACATATGCATGCGTGCCCACATATGCATGCGTGCCCACATATGCATGCGTGCCCACATATGCATGCGTGCCCACATATGCATGCGTGCCCACATATGCATGCGTGCCCACATATGCATGCGTGCCCACATATGCATGCGTGCCCACATATGCATGCGTGCCCACATATGCATGCGTGCCCACATATGCATGCGTGCCCACATATGCATGCGTGCCCACATATGCATGCGTGCCCACATATGCATGCGTGCCCACATATGCATGCGTGCCCACATATGCATGCGTGCCCACATATGCATGCGTGCCCACATATGCATGCGTGCCCACATATGCATGCGTGCCCACATATGCATGCGTGCCCACATATGCATGCGTGCCCACATATGCATGCGTGCCCACATATGCATGCGTGCCCACATATGCATGCGTGCCCACATATGCATGCGTGCCCACATATGCATGCGTGCCACATATGCATGCGTGCCCACATATGCATGCGTGCCCACAATATGCATGCGTGCCCACATATGCAATGCGTGCCCACATATGCATGCGTGCCCACATATGCATGCCGTGCCCACATATGCATGCGTGCCCACATATGCATGCGTGCCCACATATGCATGCGTGCCCACATATGCATGCGTGCCCACATATGCATGCGTGCCCACATATGCATGCGTGCCCACATATGCATGCGTGCCCACATATGCATGCGTGCCCACATATGCATGCGTGCCCACATATGCATGCGTGCCCACATATGCATGCGTGCCCACATATGCATGCGTGCCCACATATGCCATGCCGTGCCCACATATGCATGCGTGCCCACATATGCATGCGTGCCCACATATGCATGCGTGCCCACATATGCATGCGTGCCCACAATATGCATGCGTGCCCACATATGCATGCGTGCCCACCATATGCATGCGTGCCCACATATGCATGCGTGCCCACATATGCATGCGTGCCCACATATGCATGCGTGCCCACATATGCATGCGTGCCCACATATGCATGCGTGCCCACATATGCATGCGTGCCCACATATGCATGCGTGCCCACATATGCATGCGTGCCCACATATGCATGCGTGCCCACATATGCATGCGTGCCCACATATGCATGCGTGCCCACATATGCATGCGTGCCCACATATGCATGCGTGCCCACATATGCATGCGTGCCCACATATGCATGCGTGCCCACATATGCATGCGTGCCCACATATGCATGCGTGCCCACATATGCATGCGTGCCCACATATGCATGCGTGCCCACATATGCATGCGTGCCCACATATGCATGCGTGCCCACATATGCATGCGTGCCCACATATGCATGCGTGCCCACATATGCATGCGTGCCCACATATGCATGCGTGCCCACATATGCATGCGTGCCCACATATGCATGCGTGCCCACATATGCATGCGTGCCCACATATGCATGCGTGCCCACATATGCATGCGTGCCCACATATGCATGCGTGCCCACATATGCATGCGTGCCCACATATGCATGCGTGCCCACATATGCATGCGTGCCCACATATGCATGCGTGCCCACATATGCATGCGTGCCCACATATGCATGCGTGCCCACATATGCATGCGTGCCCACATATGCATGCGTGCCCACATATGCATGCGTGCCCACATATGCATGCGTGCCCACATATGCATGCGTGCCCACATATGCATGCGTGCCCACATATGCATGCGTGCCCACATATGCATGCGTGCCCACATATGCATGCGTGCCCACATATGCATGCGTGCCCACATATGCATGCGTGCCCACATATGCATGCGTGCCCACATATGCATGCGTGCCCACATATGCATGCGTGCCCACATATGCATGCGTGCCCACATATGCATGCGTGCCCACATATGCATGCGTGCCCACATATGCATGCGTGCCCACATATGCATGCGTGCCCACATATGCATGCGTGCCCACATATGCATGCGTGCCCACATATGCATGCGTGCCCACATATGCATGCGTGCCCACATATGCATGCGTGCCCACATATGCATGCGTGCCCACATATGCATGCGTGCCCACATATGCATGCGTGCCCACATATGCATGCGTGCCCACATATGCATGCGTGCCCACATATGCATGCGTGCCCACATATGCATGCGTGCCCACATATGCATGCGTGCCCACATATGCATGCGTGCCCACATATGCATGCGTGCCCACATATGCATGCGTGCCCACATATGCATGCGTGCCCACATATGCATGCGTGCCCACATATGCATGCGTGCCCACATATGCATGCGTGCCCACATATGCATGCGTGCCCACATATGCATGCGTGCCCACATATGCATGCGTGCCCACATATGCATGCGTGCCCACATATGCATGCGTGCCCACATATGCATGCGTGCCCACATATGCATGCGTGCCCACATATGCATGCGTGCCCACATATGCATGCGTGCCCACATATGCATGCGTGCCCACATATGCATGCGTGCCCACATATGCATGCGTGCCCACATATGCATGCGTGCCCACATATGCATGCGTGCCCACATATGCATGCGTGCCCACATATGCATGCGTGCCCACATATGCATGCGTGCCCACATATGCATGCGTGCCCACATATGCATGCGTGCCCACATATGCATGCGTGCCCACATATGCATGCGTGCCCACATATGCATGCGTGCCCACATATGCATGCGTGCCCACATATGCATGCGTGCCCACATATGCATGCGTGCCCACATATGCATGCGTGCCCACATATGCATGCGTGCCCACATATGCATGCGTGCCCACATATGCATGCGTGCCCACATATGCATGCGTGCCCACATATGCATGCGTGCCCACATATGCATGCGTGCCCACATATGCATGCGTGCCCACATATGCATGCGTGCCCACATATGCATGCGTGCCCACATATGCATGCGTGCCCACATATGCATGCGTGCCCACATATGCATGCGTGCCCACATATGCATGCGTGCCCACATATGCATGCGTGCCCACATATGCATGCGTGCCCACATATGCATGCGTGCCCACATATGCATGCGTGCCCACATATGCATGCGTGCCCACATATGCATGCGTGCCCACATATGCATGCGTGCCCACATATGCATGCGTGCCCACATATGCATGCGTGCCCACATATGCATGCGTGCCCACATTATTGCATGCGTGCCCACATATGCATGCGTGCCCACATATGCATGCGTGCCCACATATGCATGCGTGCCCACATATGCATGCGTGCCCACATATGCATGCGTGCCCACATATGCATGCGTGCCCACATATGCATGCGTGCCCACATATGCATGCGTGCCCACATATGCATGCGTGCCCACATGCATGGTGCCCACATGCGTGCCCACATATGCATGCGTGCCCACATATGCATGCGTGCCCACATATGCATGCGTGCCCACATATGCATGCGTGCCCACATATGCATGCGTGCCCACATATGCATGCGTGCCCACATATGCATGCGTGCCCACATATGCATGCGTGCCCACATATGCATGCGTGCCCACATATGCATGCGTGCCCACATATGCATGCGTGCCCACATATGCATGCGTGCCCACATATGCATGCGTGCCCACATATGCATGCGTGCCCACATATGCATGCGTGCCCACATATGCATGCGTGCCCACATATGCATGCGTGCCCACATATGCATGCGTGCCCACATATGCATGCGTGCCCACATATGCATGCGTGCCCACATATGCATGCGTGCCCACATATGCATGCGTGCCCACATATGCATGCGTGCCCACATATGCATGCGTGCCCACATATGCATGCGTGCCCACATATGCATGCGTGCCCACATATGCATGCGTGCCCACATATGCATGCGTGCCCACATATGCATGCGTGCCCACATATGCAATGCGTGCCCACATATGCATGCGTGCCCACATATGCATGCGTGCCCACATATGCATGCGTGCCCACATATGCATGCGTGCCCACATAGGCATGCGTGCCCACATATGCATGCGTGCCCACATATGCATGCGTGCCCACATATGCATGCGTGCCCACATATGCATGCGTGCCCACATATGCATGCGTGCCCACATATGCATGCGTGCCCACATATGCATGCGTGCCCACATATGCATGCGTGCCCACATATGCATGCGTGCCCACATATGCATGCGTGCCCACATATGCATGCGTGCCCACATATGCATGCGTGCCCACATATGCATGCGTGCCCACATATGCATGCGTGCCCCATATGCATGCGTGCCCACATATGCATGCGTGCCCACATATGCATGCTGCCCACATATGCTGCGTGCCCACATATGCATGCGTGCCACATATGCATGCGTGCCCACATATGCATGCGTGCCCACATATGCATGCGTGCCCACATATGCATGCGTGCCCACATATGCATGCGTGCCCACATATGCATGCGTGCCCACATATGCATGCGTGCCCACATATGCATGCGTGCCCACATATGCACTGCGTGCCCACATATGCATGCGTGCCCACATATGCATGCGTGCCCACATATGCATGCGTGCCCACATGCATGCGTGCCCACCTATGCATGCGTGCCCACATATGCATGCGTGCCCACATATGCATGCGTGCCCACATATGCATGCGTGCCCACATATGCATGCGTGCCCACATATGCATGCGTGCCCACATATGCATGCGTGCCCACATATGCATGCGTGCCCACATATGCATGCGTGCCCACATATGCATGCGTGCCCACATATGCATGCGTGCCCACATATGCATGCGTGCCCACATATGCATGCGTGCCCACATATGCATGCGTGCCCACATATGCATGCGTGCCCACATATGCATGCGTGCCCACATATGCATGCGTGCCCACATATGCATGCGTGCCCACATATGCATGCGTGCCCACATATGCATGCGTGCCCACATATGCATGCGTGCCCACATATGCATGCGTGCCCACATATGCATGCGTGCCCACATATGCATGCGTGCCCACATATGCATGCGTGCCCACATATGCATGCGTGCCCACATATGCATGCGTGCCCACATATGCATGCGTGCCCACATATGCATGCGTGCCCACATATGCATGCGTGCCCACATATGCATGCGTGCCCACATATGCATGCGTGCCCACATATGCATGCGTGCCCACATATGCATGCGTGCCCACATATGCATGCGTGCCCACATATGCATGCGTGCCCACATATGCATGCGTGCCCACATATGCATGCGTGCCCACATATGCATGCGTGCCCACATATGCATGCGTGCCCACATATGCATGCGTGCCCACATATGCATGCGTGCCCACATATGCATGCGTGCCCACATATGCATGCGTGCCCACATATGCATGCGTGCCCACATATGCATGCGTGCCCACATATGCATGCGTGCCCACATATGCATGCGTGCCCACATATGCATGCGTGCCCACATATGCATGCGTGCCCACATATGCATGCGTGCCCACATATGCATGCGTGCCCACATATGCATGCGTGCCCACATATGCATGCGTGCCCACATATGCATGCGTGCCCACATATGCATGCGTGCCCACATATGCATGCGTGCCCACATATGCATGCGTGCCCACATATGCATGCGTGCCCACATATGCATGCGTGCCCACATATGCATGCGTGCCCACATATGCATGCGTGCCCACATATGCATGCGTGCCCACATATGCATGCGTGCCCACATATGCATGCGTGCCCACATATGCATGCGTGCCCACATATGCATGCGTGCCCACATATGCATGCGTGCCCACATATGCATGCGTGCCCACATATGCATGCGTGCCCACATATGCATGCGTGCCCACATATGCATGCGTGCCCACATATGCATGCGTGCCCACATATGCATGCGTGCCCACATATGCATGCGTGCCCACATATGCATGCGTGCCCACATATGCATGCGTGCCCACATATGCATGCGTGCCCACATATGCATGCGTGCCCACATATGCATGCGTGCCCACATATGCATGCGTGCCCACATATGCATGCGTGCCCACATATGCATGCGTGCCCACATATGCATGCGTGCCCACATATGCATGCGTGCCCACATATGCATGCGTGCCCACATATGCATGCGTGCCCACATATGCATGCGTGCCCACATATGCATGCGTGCCCACATATGCATGCGTGCCCACATATGCATGCGTGCCCACATATGCATGCGTGCCCACATATGCATGCGTGCCCACATATGCATGCGTGCCCACATATGCATGCGTGCCCACATATGCATGCGTGCCCACATATGCATGCGTGCCCACATATGCATGCGTGCCCACATATGCATGCGTGCCCACATATGCATGCGTGCCCACATATGCATGCGTGCCCACATATGCATGCGTGCCCACATATGCATGCGTGCCCACATATGCATGCGTGCCCACATATGCATGCGTGCCCACATATGCATGCGTGCCCACATATGCATGCGTGCCCACATATGCATGCGTGCCCACATATGCATGCGTGCCCACATATGCATGCGTGCCCACATATGCATGCGTGCCCACATATGCATGCGTGCCCACATATGCATGCGTGCCCACATATGCATGCGTGCCCACATATGCATGCGTGCCCACATATGCATGCGTGCCCACATATGCATGCGTGCCCACATATGCATGCGTGCCCACATATGCATGCGTGCCCACATATGCATGCGTGCCCACATATGCATGCGTGCCCACATATGCATGCGTGCCCACATATGCATGCGTGCCCACATATGCATGCGTGCCCACATATGCATGCGTGCCCACATATGCATGCGTGCCCACATATGCATGCGTGCCCACATATGCATGCGTGCCCACATATGCATGCGTGCCCACATATGCATGCGTGCCCACATATGCATGCGTGCCCACATATGCATGCGTGCCCACATATGCATGCGTGCCCACATATGCATGCGTGCCCACATATGCATGCGTGCCCACATATGCATGCGTGCCCACATATGCATGCGTGCCCACATATGCATGCGTGCCCACATATGCATGCGTGCCCACATATGCATGCGTGCCCACATATGCATGCGTGCCCACATATGCATGCGTGCCCACATATGCATGCGTGCCCACATATGCATGCGTGCCCACATATGCATGCGTGCCCACATATGCATGCGTGCCCACATATGCATGCGTGCCCACATATGCATGCGTGCCCACATATGCATGCGTGCCCACATATGCATGCGTGCCCACATAGCATGCGTGCCCACATATGCATGCGTGCCCACATATGCATGCGTGCCCACATATGCATGCGTGCCCACATATGCATGCGTGCCCACATATGCATGCGTGCCCACATATGCATGCGTGCCCACATATGCATGCGTGCCCACATATGCATGCGTGCCCACATATGCATGCGTGCCCACATATGCATGCGTGGCCCACATATGCATGCGTGCCCACATATGCATGCGTGCCCACATATGCATGCGTGCCCACATATGCATGCGTGCCCACATATGCATGCGTGCCCACATATGCATGCGTGCCCACATATGCATGCGTGCCCACATATGCATGCGTGCCCACATATGCATGCGTGCCCACATATGCATGCGTGCCCACATATGCATGCGTGCCCACATATGCATGCGTGCCCACATATGCATGCGTGCCCACATATGCATGCGTGCCCACATATGCATGCGTGCCCACATATGCATGCGTGCCCACATATGCATGCGTGCCCACATATGCATGCGTGCCCAATTATGCATGCGTGCCCACATATGCATGCGTGCCCACATATGCATGCGTGCCCACATATGCATGCGTGCCCACATATGCATGCGTGCCCACATATGCATGCGTGCCCACATATGCATGCGTGCCCACATATGCATGGTGCCCCACATAGGCATGCGTGCCCACATATGCATGCGTGCCCACATATGCCCCATATGCATGCGGTGCCCACATATGCATGCGTGCCCACATATGCATGCGTGCCCACATATGCATGCGTGCCCACATATGCATGCGTGCCCACATATGCATGCGTGCCCACATATGCATGCGTGGCCCACATATGCATGCGTGCCCACATATGCATGCGTGCCCACATATGCTGGGCCACATAGCATGCGTGCCCACAGATGCATGCGTGCCCCACATATGCATGCGTGCCCACATATGCATGCGTGCCCACATATGCATGCGTGCCCACATATGCATGCGTGCCCACATATGCATGCGTGCCCACATATGCAATGCGTGCCCACATATGCATGCGTGCCCACATATGCATGCGTGCCCACATATGCATGCGTGCCCACATATGCATGCGTGCCCACATATGCATGCGTGGCCCACATATGCATGCGTGCCCACATATGCATGCGTGCCCACATATGCATGCGTGCCCACATATGCATGCGTGCCCACATATGCATGCGTGCCCACATATGCATGCGTGCCCACATATGCATGCGTGCCCACATATGCATGCGGTGCCCACATATGCATGCGTGCCCACATATGCATGCGTGCCCACATATGCATGCGTGCCCCACGATATGCATGCGTGCCCACATATGCATGCGTGCCCACATATGCATGCGTGCCCACATATGCATGCGTGCCCACATATGCATGCGTGCCCACATATGCATGCGTGCCCACATATGCATGCGTGCCCACATATGCATGCGTGCCCACATATGCATGCGTGCCCACATATGCATGCGTGCCCACATATGCATGCGTGCCCACATATGCATGCGTGCCCACATATGCATGCGTGCCCACATATGCATGCGTGCCCACATATGCATGCGTGCCCACATATGCATGCGTGCCCACATATGCATGCGTGCCCACATATGCATGCGTGCCCACATATGCATGCGTGCCCACATATGCATGCGTGCCCACATATGCATGCGTGCCCACATATGCATGCGTGCCCACATATGCATGCGTGCCCACATATGCATGCGTGCCCACATATGCATGCGTGCCCACATATGCATGCGTGCCCACATATGCATGCGTGCCCACATATGCATGCGTGCCCACATATGCATGCGTGCCCACATATGCATGCGTGCCCACATATGCATGCGTGCCCACATATGCATGCGTGCCCACATATGCATGCGTGCCCACATATGCATGCGTGCCCACATATGCATGCGTGCCCACATATGCATGCGTGCCCACATATGCATGCGTGCCCACATATGCATGCGTGCCCACATATGCATGCGTGCCCACATATGCATGCGTGCCCACATATGCATGCGTGCCCACATATGCATGCGTGCCCACATATGCATGCGTGCCCACATATGCATGCGTGCCCACATATGCATGCGTGCCCACATATGCATGCGTGCCCACATATGCATGCGTGCCCACATATGCATGCGTGCCCACATATGCATGCGTGCCCACATATGCATGCGTGCCCACATATGCATGCGTGCCCACATATGCATGCGTGCCCACATATGCATGCGTGCCCACATATGCATGCGTGCCCACATATGCATGCGTGCCCACATATGCATGCGTGCCCACATATGCATGCGTGCCCACATATGCATGCGTGCCCACATATGCATGCGTGCCCACATATGCATGCGTGCCCACATATGCATGCGTGCCCACATATGCATGCGTGCCCACATATGCATGCGTGCCCACATATGCATGCGTGCCCACATATGCATGCGTGCCCACATATGCATGCGTGCCCACATATGCATGCGTGCCCACATATGCATGCGTGCCCACATATGCATGCGTGCCCACATATGCATGCGTGCCCACATATGCATGCGTGCCCACATATGCATGCGTGCCCACATATGCATGCGTGCCCACATATGCATGCGTGCCCACATATGCATGCGTGCCCACATATGCATGCGTGCCCACATATGCATGCGTGCCCACATATGCATGCGTGCCCACATATGCATGCGTGCCCACATATGCATGCGTGCCCACATATGCATGCGTGCCCACATATGCATGCGTGCCCACATATGCATGCGTGCCCACATATGCATGCGTGCCCACATATGCATGCGTGCCCACATATGCATGCGTGCCCACATATGCATGCGTGCCCACATATGCATGCGTGCCCACATATGGCATGCGTGCCCACATATGCATGCGTGCCCACATATGCATGCGTCCCACATATGCATGCGTGCCCACATATGCATGCGTGCCCACATATGCATGCGTGCCCACATATGCATGCGTGCCCACATATGCATGCGTGCCCACATATGCATGCGTGCCCACATATGCATGCGTGCCCCACATATGCATGCGTGCCCACATATGCTATGCGTGCCCCACATATGCATGCGTGCCCACATATGCATGCGTGCCCACATATGCATGCGTGGCCCACATATGGCATGCGTGCCCACATATGCATGCGTGCCCACATATGCATGCGTGCCCACATATGCATGCGTGCCCACATATGCATGCGTGACCACATATTGCATGCGTGACCCACAATGGGCCACTGCATGGTGCCCACATATGCATGCGTGCCCACATATGCATGCGTGCCCACATATGCATGCGTGCCCACATATGCATGCGTGCCCACATATGCATGCGTGCCCACATATGCATGCGTGCCCACATATGCATGCGTGCCCACATATGCATGCGTGCCCACATATGCATGCGTGCCCACATATGCATGCGTGCCCAATATGCATGCGTGCCCACATATGCATGCGTGCCCACATATGCATGCGTGCCCACATATGCATGCGTGCCCTACATATGCATGCGTGCCCACATATGCATGCGTGCCACATATGCATGCGTAGCCCACATATGCATGCGTGCCCACATTGCATGCGTGCCCACATATGCGTGCCCACATATGCATGCGTGCCCACATATGCATGCGTGCCCACATATGCATGCGTGCCCACATATGCATGCGTGCCCACATATGCATGCGTGCCCACATATGCATGCGTGCCCACATATGCATGCGTGCCCACATATGCATGCGTGCCCACATATGCATGCGTGCCCACATATGCATGCGTGCCCACATATGCATGCGTGCCCACATATGCATGCGTGCCCACATATGCATGCGTGCCCACATATGCATGCGTGCCCACATATGCATGCGTGCCCACATATGCATGCGTGCCCACATATGCATGCGTGCCCACATATGCATGCGTGCCCACATATGCATGCGTGCCCACATATGCATGCGTGCCCACATATGCATGCGTGCCCACATATGCATGCGTGCCCACATATGCATGCGTGCCCACATATGCATGCGTGCCCACATATGCATGCGTGCCCACATATGCATGCGTGCCCACATATGCATGCGTGCCCACATATGCATGCGTGCCCACATATGCATGCGTGCCCACATATGCATGCGTGCCCACATATGCATGCGTGCCCACATATGCATGCGTGCCCACATATGCATGCGTGCCCACATATGCATGCGTGCCCACATATGCATGCGTGCCCACATATGCATGCGTGCCCACATATGCATGCGTGCCCACATATGCATGCGTGCCCACATATGCATGCGTGCCCACATATGCATGCGTGCCCACATATGCATGCGTGCCCACATATGCATGCGTGCCCACATATGCATGCGTGCCCACATATGCATGCGTGCCCACATATGCATGCGTGCCCACATATGCATGCGTGCCCACATATGCATGCGTGCCCACATATGCATGCGTGCCCACATATGCATGCGTGCCCACATATGCATGCGTGCCCACATATGCATGCGTGCCCACATATGCATGCGTGCCCACATATGCATGCGTGCCCACATATGCATGCGTGCCCACATATGCATGCGTGCCCACATATGCATGCGTGCCCACATATGCATGGTGCCCACATATGCGTGCCCACATATGCATGCGTGCCCACATATGCATGCTGGCCCACATATGCCTGCGTGCCCACATATGCATGCGTGCCCACATATGCATGCGTGCCCACATATGCATGCGTGCCCACATATGCATGCGTGCCCACATATGCATGCGTGCCCACATAGCATGCGTGCCCACATATGCATGCGTGCCCACATATGCATGCGTGCCCACATATGCATGCGTGCCCACATATGCATGCGTGCCACATATGCATGCGTGCCACATATGCATGCGTGCCCACATATGCATGCGTGCCCACATATGCATGCGTGCCCACATATGCATGCGTGCCCACATATGCATGCGTGCCCACATATGCATGCGTGCCCACATATGCATGCGTGCCCACATATGCATGCGTGCCCACATATGCATGCGTGCCCACATATGCATGCGTGCCACATATGCATGCGTGCCCACATATGCATGCGTGCCCACATATGCATGCGTGCCCACATATGCATGCGTGCCCACATATGCATGCGTGCCCACATATGCATGCGTGCCCACATATGCATGCGTGCCCACATATGCATGCGTGCCCACATATGCATGCGTGCCCACATATGCATGCGTGCCCACATATGCATGCGTGCCCACATATGCATGCGTGCCCACATATGCATGCGTGCCCACATATGCATGCGTGCCCACATATGCATGCGTGCCCACATATGCATGCGTGCCCACATATGCATGCGTGCCCACATATGCATGCGTGCCCACATATGCATGCGTGCCCACATATGCATGCGTGCCCACATATGCATGCGTGCCCACATATGCATGCGTGCCCACATATGCATGCGTGCCCACATATGCATGCGTGCCCACATATGCATGCGTGCCCACATATGCATGCGTGCCCACATATGCATGCGTGCCCACATATGCATGCGTGCCCACATATGCATGCGTGCCCACATATGCATGCGTGCCCACATATGCATGCGTGCCCACATATGCATGCGTGCCCACATATGCATGCGTGCCCACATATGCATGCGTGCCCACATATGCATGCGTGCCCACATATGCATGCGTGCCCACATATGCATGCGTGCCCACATATGCATGCGTGCCCACATATGCATGCGTGCCCACATATGCATGCGTGCCCACATATGCATGCGTGCCCACATATGCATGCGTGCCCACATATGCATGCGTGCCCACATATGCATGCGTGCCCACATATGCATGCGTGCCCACATATGCATGCGTGCCCACATATGCATGCGTGCCCACATATGCATGCGTGCCCACATATGCATGCGTGCCCACATATGCATGCGTGCCCACATATGCATGCGTGCCCACATATGCATGCGTGCCCACATATGCATGCGTGCCCACATATGCATGCGTGCCCACATATGCATGCGTGCCCACATATGCATGCGTGCCCACATATGCATGCGTGCCCACATATGCATGCGTGCCCACATATGCATGCGTGCCCACATATGCATGCGTGCCCACATATGCATGCGTGCCCACATATGCATGCGTGCCCACATAATGCTATGCGTGCCCACATATGCATGCGTGCCCACATATGCATGCGCTGCCCACATATGCATGCGTGCCCACATATGCATTGTCGTGCCCACATATGCATGCGTGCCCACATATGCATGCGTGCCCACATATGCATGCGTGCCCACATATGCATGCGTGCCCACATATGCATGCGTGCCCACATATGCATGCGTGCCCACATATGCATGCGTGCCCACATATGCATGCGTGCCCACATATGCATGCGTGCCCACATATGCATGCGTGCCCACATATGCATGCGTGCCCACATATGCATGCGTGCCCACATATCATGCGTGCCAACATATGCAGCGTGCCCACATATGCATGCGTGCCCACATATGCATGCGTGCCACATATGCATGCGTGCCCACATATGCATGCGTGCCCACATATGCATGCGTGCCCACATATGCATGCGTGCCCACATATGCATGCGTGCCCACATATGCATGCGTGCCCACATATGCATGCGTGCCCACATATGCATGCGTGCCCAACCATATGCATGCGTGCCCACATATGCATGCGTGCCCACATATGCATGCGTGCCCACATATGCATGCGTGCCCACATATGCATGCGTGCCCACATATGCATGCGTGCCCACATATGCATGCGTGCCCACATATGCATGCGTGCCCACATATGCATGCGTGCCCACATATGCATGCGTGCCCACATATGCATGCGTGCCCACATATGCATGCGTGCCCACATATGCATGCGTGCCCACATATGCATGCGTGCCCACATATGCATGCGTGCCCACATATGCATGCGTGCCCACATATGCATGCGTGCCCACATATGCATGCGTGCCCACATATGCATGCGTGCCCACATATGCATGCGTGCCCACATATGCATGCGTGCCCACATATGCATGCGTGCCCACATATGCATGCGTGCCCACATATGCATGCGTGCCCACATATGCATGCGTGCCCACATATGCATGCGTGCCCACATATGCATGCGTGCCCACATATGCATGCGTGCCCACATATGCATGCGTGCCCACATATGCATGCGTGCCCACATATGCAACCACAGGAGTGCGAGCATGGCCGGAATGGAACGAAGGGGCTCTATTTGTGGATAAGATACAACTGGGCACAGCACGAGGTGAGAGACACACACAGAAAGTGAGGGACAACACTCAGACTGTGATGCGTCCCAATCCCATTCAACCCTGCCTTCCACCTTCCACCATCTGCCCTCTGCCCGCTACGCCCTACCCGGGGCCCTTTCCTCTGCACACGCCCTCGCCCTGGCAATCATGCTGCGTTCTCTTCACAACACATGCTCCCTGCCCACTGCTTTCATTGTGTGTCTCACATGTGTGCTTGTGGTTGTGCATGGCATGTATGGATGTGTTCGCGCGCATGCGCGTTTGTGTGTGCATGTGTGCACGTCTGCATGCATGCATGTCGGCATGTGTGCATGTGTGCACGTGCGTTCACAACCCCCAGCGCACACATCCATACTCGACTTCTACTGCCAACGCTACCCTCATTCCGCCTCCCCTCAAGGGTGCGTGCTTTGTATTGTAAGAGCCTGTTGCTGCCTCCAAATCTGCGTTGCATTTCAAGCCTCTGTTTCCCCAAGAAGGGTCTGAGGTTGAATGAATTCTCATCTCAAGGCATAGTAGCTGAGTTTTGAAAATTTGAAGCTCACCCAAATTAAATTCTTATCTCTGGGCGTATATTTTGTATTCTTCGCGCGTGACCTTCACACCCCTGAGCCCCATGTGTGTGTGTTGATTTCCGCACGTATTGATGGCAGCACAGGTGGCTGAATCGCATTGGCAACGGTCAGGTGACTCCTCCTCTGCACTGCACCCCCTCACACCCTCCCTCTGCAGCCCCTTGCGGCACACACACATCACACACTTACATCATACACATCACACACTTACATCACACACATCACACACTTACATCACACACATCACACACTTACATCACACACATCACACACTTACATCACACACATCACACACTTACATCACACACATCACACACTTACATCACACACATCACACACTTACATCACACACATCACACACTTACATCACACACATCACACACATCACACACTTACATCACACACATCACACACATCACACACATCACACACTTACATCACACACATCACACACTTACATCACACACATCACACACTTACATCACCCACATCACACACTTACATCACACACATCACACACTTACATCACATACATCACTGTTAAGGTCGACCTTCCATCCGTCTCTCTGTCCCAGTCACTCTCTTGAAATCTTTCTGTCCACCAGAAGTCGGAAATCACCCCAGTATACTCGTCCCATCCAATTGACTTTTGAGTCGACTCAAAAGTCAACTGAAATCACCCCAGTATACTCGTCCCATCCAATGAATGAACACCAGCACTCGTCTTATCCTCTCATCCTCATATCCTCGCATCCTCTCATTTGCTCATCCGCTCATCCCCGCATCCTCACATCCCGTAGGTTACTCTCAACGGTATACAAGTCACCGACCCCGCGACCCCGCTCAGGTACCAGTGAGAGAAGAGGATAAGTACGATAAAACCGTTCAGGTACCAGTGATCAGGTACCAGTGATCAGGTACCAGTGATCAGGTACCAGACTCTTCATCTGCGGAAAGAGAAGGATACCATACCCGAGGTCCAGTCCCGCTCAGGTTCCAATGAGAGAAGAGGATGAGTACGATCAAAACCGCCGACCCAGGTACATGTGCAGTTGCTTGTTGCTATTCATCTGATACTTTTGAGAATTCTTGAAAGTCGCACCAATATGGCTATTCATCTGCGAAGAGAAGGATAGTGTGGGGAGTGCGATCAAACACACCCACATCTCTCCCTCTCTTCCCTCCTCCACCCTCTCATCTCTCCCTCTCATCTCTCCCTCCCATCTCTCCCTGTCAGCCCATCGGACTGTCTCTGCTACCACCGCACGCGCCCTGGCAGGAGCCCCCTGCGCCCTCCCCATGCTGCCCAGTGCTTTCCCTGTGTGCTCCACTCCTCTCCCTCCCCGCACCTATCCTTGTCACCCTGTGATGTCAGCCCATCGGACTGTCTCTGCTACCACCGCACGCCCTGGCAGGAGCCCCCTGCGCCGTGCCACTTCACCGTTCTCTTCCAGGACTCCCAGGTGGTATGTGGTTGCATTGCAAGGTGGAGTGGAGTCTAGAGAGGTGAAACCCCAGCGACCTCTTAGGCGCCTCAGGAGGAGCCCCCTGCGCCCTGCCGCTTCACCTCTCCCTTTCAGGACTCCCACGTGGTATGTGGGGAGGCTGCTGCTTCTCACCAAGGCACGCACCCTGCTGTTCCATCTGCTCTCTCTCTCTCTGCTCACCCATCCTTCACTCACCATCCCTCTCCTCTCAACTAACCATCCTGTCCCCCTCACCACCCCCAACCCCGGCCTTACCCCCCCTCAGCTTGTTCTTTCAAAGCCCAGCAGGCTGCAGGTGCTGAAGGGACCGCCCTTCCATCCACGCTCCCTTGCTCCTCTTCAACCCTTCTTCCTTCAGGCGTGTGTCCTTGGGGTAAAAAAATGGCCAAAGTTTGACCTTTAAAAGAGGTTGTACACGGCTGGATACAGTTGAGAGACGTGTCGCCACGGTTCAAAGCGGTTGGAGTTCAAACTTCGACAATTTTCGCCAGGACACACGCCCTTAACCCTAGCCTGATTCACCCTCGTCTCTCCCCCATGCCCCCTCTCCCCTCTACCCCCTCCCTTCCATCAGCTGGTGCTATCAAAGCCCAGCGGCCTGCAGGTGCTGAGAGGAGCGCCCTTCCATCAACGCACCCTGCTTTCTCTGCTCGCCCTGCATGCACGCAACCGACTGGTACCAGTGCCACTGCCGGCAACAGAAGTAGAGGCAGCAGAACTAGCAGAAGGGACAGCAACAGACAGGGTGCCGAGTGCCGCAGAAGGGGTAGCAGCAGCGCGGGGTGCAGAGTCGAATGGTGCACGTGCAGCAGACAGTGCCTGTGCGAGCCAGCAGAGTGCAGAAGGGACAGCGACAGGGGTAGCAGCAGCAGCAGCAGCAGCAAAGAGTGCAGTATCCAACGGTGCACATGCGGCAGACTGTGCAAGGCAGCTGAATGTTACTTTGCAAGCGGGCAGCCAGGAACGCGGACAGCAACAACAACAACAACAACAGCAACAGCAACAGCAACAGCAACAGCAGAAAGAGTGCGGGATAGACTGGGCACGAGACACAATGGAGCCGGTGCAGGGAATGGCCTCTCCTGCTCACAGGATAGGGCGTGGCACATCAGGTACTGACGGGGCGACTCACAACAGTGCAAGGAGTGGTCAGTGCGGTGCAAGGAGTGGTCAGTGGGGTGCAAGGAGTGGTCAGTGGGGTGCAAAGAGTGGTCAGTGCAGTGCAAGGAATGGTCAGTGCGGTGTAAGGAATGGTCAGTGCGGTGCAAGGAGTGGTCAGTGGGGTGCAAGGAGTGGTCAGTGCAGTGCAAGGAATGGTCAGTGCGGTGTAAGGAATGGTCAGTGCGGTGCAAGGAGTGGTCAGTGCGGTGCAACGAGTGGTCAGTGCGGTGCAAGGAATGGTCAGTGCGGTGCAAGGAATGGTCAGTGCGATGCAAGGAATGGTCAGTGCGATGCAAGGAATGGTCAGTGCGGTGCAAGGAATGGTCAGTGCGATGCAAGGAATGGTCAGTGCGGTGCAAGGAATGGTCAGTGCGGTGCAAGGAATGGTCAGTGCGGTGCAAGGAATGTCTTCAACGGAGCCATCCGTGGAAGAAATGGATTTTCGTGAATCGATCAATGTTGCCATCCATGCATCTATTGACTTACGACATCCATGCATTTATTGATGTTTCCGTGCTAATTTCTTGCCTCTCCCTCCCTCACTCCCCATCTCAGCCCCCACTGGTCTTCTAATCTGAGGCATCAGTGCAAGGGGCAAGGCTAAACTAGCTGCTGACCTTGCAGCTGCCACCACCAGTGCTGATGCTGCTGCCGATCCCTCCCACGCTCCCCATTTCATCTCCCACACAGTTCTTTCAATCTGCGGCATCACCCCTGTAGCCAAGGCTAATCTGGCTGCTGAAATTGCTGCTGCCACCAGCGATGCTGCTGCTCATCCCTCCCATCGCTCCCCGTCTCAACCACCCCACAGGTCTTCTAATCTGCGGCATCAGTGCTACAGGCAAGACTAAACTGGCGGCTGACTTGGCTTCTGCCACCACCAGTGGTGATGCTGCTGATCCCTCCTCCCACCACAAGGGTCCCCGGAGGAGAAAAGGCAGAAACAGCAGCAGGACCAGTGGGACCAGCGACAGCAACGAAAACGGCAGCAGCGGCAACGAGAACAGCAGCAGCTGCAGCGGCAGCGGCAGCGTTAGCAGCAGCAGTAAGGGCCGAGGCAGTGGCAATGGAAGTGCAGACAATGGCAGTGACAACAGTGACTGCTGCCCCCGCATTGTTGAAAACAGTGACAGCTGCCCCCGCATTGTCAAGTACTACAGGGCTCTCGTGCAGGGGGTGGTGGTGCCCGATGAGGTGAGGTGCAGTGCGGTGTGGTGTGGTGAGAGGAGGTAAGGTGAGTGCTGTTTTCAGGGAACGACGTGGTGAAGGCTCAGGGCGTGTCCAGCGCGTTCATTTCGGGTTTTTTAGTACCTTCTCACGTTTCGCAGTTCAAGAAAGCTCACTGTACCTAAAAACGAATCCATGGTGAGTCGAGTCCATAATGCCTGTGCATTCGAGCGCGCGGACACAACCACCCCCAACGCAAATTTCTCCAGTGCTCCGATCGCGTGGAAACCAAGTTAACTGTTTCCCTCGTCAATTGTCGCGCAGGAATTTTCGCGCAAGCGAAAATTTCGCGCATGAACGAAAATCACTGTACAGGGCAGGACACAGTCCTGTACCCTTGTTCGTGCAGACGCTGATTCTAGTAACGTGAGTCAGACGACTCGATGTACGTGCGGGGGGCGTGCCGTCTCGTGAACGGAAGCTGAAAGTGTCCATTTTTTTTGTAAAATGCAGTGTTACAACCCAAAATAAGGTGATCGAGCCGATTTAGGAACTGTAAATGAACGCGCTGGACACCCCCTCATACCTCATCCCATCTTCCCGTCTTCCAATCCCTCCATACTCCCTTCCTCCCTTCCTCCCATTCTTCCATCCCCCCATTTCATTCCCCCATTCCCCATTCCTGCGTGCAGCAAACAGTGCAGGTGCCCATTGGTCGAGTGCGGTACGGCGCGGTGGTAGGAGGACTCTACATGGCGTCCCCAACAGGTGTGTGCTGCGCTCACCATGCGTCCACAACCCCATCTCCACCATCTCAATCTTCTTCCCCCCACCCCACCCCATCTCCACCATCTCAATCTTCTTCCCCCCACCCCACCCCATCTCCATCCCATCCCCGCCCGCTTCCCAACCCCATCCACACCACACCCCATTTCCAACCCAGGCCCAACCCATTGCCAACCCATCCCCACCCGTACCCACCTGTCCCCTCTCCAGTTTCAATCGCCTCAACGTGCATGTCTCTATCCCTGACAACACATGTACAAGCACAATCACATGTGCGCCAGATTGTCTTTAGACGCATCCCTCCATCCCACTACACTACGTCCCAGTCTTGAAATTTCTAAAAAGCGACCCCTGTCATACACTGTGTACATGTGCATGTGATTGTGCATGTGCCATGACCTGCCCTTCCCTGCTCTCTGCATGCTCCACACCAGGCAAGCCAGCAGTGAGTGTGCTGCGTGTGCTGCATCGGCACATGCACACCAACCAGACCTTGCTCGAGGTAAATTATCTGCTCACCTCATGCTTTCTGAGCTGAACCTTATGTATGCCATAGATTCAACCCCTGTCGCACCCTCATCCACGATTGTGCTGCGTGTGCTGCGTGTGCTGCATCTACACGTGGACGCCAGCCAAACCTTACTCTCGAGTAAACTCGCTTCCCTCTTGCTTTCTGCATCGCCAACCTGAATCAAATGTCTGCCGAGTCTGTTCGGAGGGTGCCTGTGTTCTCTGAACAACTGGATTTTTCGCCTCAAATATTCTCTCGTTGTGCCCATGCCCATGCCCATGCCCATGCCCATATGCTGGGTGCTGTCTGAGGCGCATCAAACATCATGTTCTCTCACCCTTCTCCCTTCCCCCTCCCTTCCTCCCCTCTCCCCCCATCCCAGGTGCGCATATTCTCTGGTCGTGCACATCAGATTCACATTCACTGCATGTGCATGCCCTGCCCTACCCTGCCCCTCCCCCTCCCCTTACCCTCCCCTCCCCCCACCCACCCTCCCCATCCCCCCATCCCAGGTGCGCATATTCTCTGGTCGCGCACATCAAATCCGCATTCACTGTGCCGCCGCCGGTCATCCCCTCGTTGGTGAGTGAGTGGCATTCTTGCACAGGCTGGTGTGCAGTGGACGCATGTGCGAGCGTGTGTGTAATGAGGTGACTTTTGAGTCGACTCAAGAGTCATCCCCTAGTTGGTGAGTGGCATTCTTGCACAGGCTGGTGTGCAGTGGATGCATGTGCGAGCGTGTGTGTAATCCCCGCAGTTGCCGCAGTGCCGCATAACCCTGCGTCTTATTCTCCTCTTTCCCCCACCTGCCCCATTTCGCATTCTCTCTTCCCGTCTTCTTCTTCTCCTCCTCCTCCTCTTCCTCCTCCTCCTCCTCCTCCTCCTCCTCCTCCTCCTCCTCCTCCTCCTCCTCCTCCTCCTCCTCCTCCTCCTCCTCCTCCCCCCCTCTAACTCTCCTTTTCCTTCTCGCTCCCTCTCTTCATGCAGGTGACCCTCTCTACGTCTCTGGAGGCATTCCAGCCCCTGTGACGGGCTCGCTTCCTCAGCAGCACAGCCCCAACAGCCCCCATCACACACCCGTTCTGAGTCGACTCAAAGGTCTTCCTCTTCTCCCTCACTCCTTCCAGGTGACCCTCTCTACGTCTCTGGAGGCATTCCAGCCCCTGTGACGGGCTCGCTTCCTCTGCAGCACAGTGGCAGTGGCAGTAGCAGTAGTGGCGGCGGTGCTGGCAATAGTGACGCTGGCAGTGGCAGTAGCAGTGCTGCCAGTGCTGATGGTGCTGGCAGTGCTGATGGTGCTGGCAGCGCTGATGGTGCTGGCAGTGCGAGCCCCATCAGGCCGGGAGATACAGGCTATTGGCTGCACTCCTTCCGATGCCTCTTCCACCATCCCACATCTAACCAGGTCTGCTCTTCTTTCTCCCACCTTCTCCCCCCACTTCCCCCCGCACCTCCTCCCCACCCCCTCTCCTCTACCTCCCCACTCTTCCCGCCTTCCCCCGCTGCTTGCTTCCGCCATGCCTGTGTCTCTGCTATGCCCCAGTTGCAATCTCGGGGCTATGGTGTTTCTCACATGATGGTGCTCAAAAGGTAGTGTCCTGGTCTGCTCATGCTCTTATAGGTTGTCTTATAGTGGTTCTTAACTGCTTGCCTCTGTCAGGCTTTCCCATGCCTCTCTGCTCCATGCCCCTACATCTTCCCCTTGCATGTTTGCTTACCCCATGCCTCTCTGCCTGCTGCCTTCAGGTAATTCGAGTGGTAGCGCCTCCCCCCCCTGCCCTGTGCATGCCACACGAGACAGTTGCCTCCTTTCTGTCTGCATTCCAAGTCATGCCGCCCGATGCCATGATGGATTTATGGCACTGTTAGTGTGTTGTGATTTTTGTGAAGGAGGTTGCACAAAAGTTGCTGCAGGTGCCTTCACTTTGAGCATGCTGCTTACTGTTAGGAAATATTTCTATAGCCTCACCAATAGTTGGGATAGGAAAAGGAAGGCAGGCAGTGTGTAGTTAAATTTGATCGTTTGTGCATGTGCATTAAGCAATAAAAACAGAGAAACCGTGAAACAGCACTAACAGATATTGTCCACAGATGAATAAACAATCTTCAAAAAGTTCGGGTAGTTACCCGTAATCAGGCCTCTGGTTAACAGGGTGAATCACCCTTATGACACTGACTATAAGGCTGGTTTTCATTATGCACCCTTTTATTTCAGAGTGGTTCATTTCTGGACCCTTACAAAAAAAAGTGTTTGGTTCTAGGACACTGATATTTAAGAGTTAAGAGGTGAAGACACACTGACAAAACCGAGTTCGCTCTAACAGGGATGTTACATATTCCCGCGTAAAAGCGATACCACGGCATACCACATCAGAAGGAGCCCTCAACGAGAATCGATCTTACATCTTTGACACTTTACACCAAGACTCACTGCATCACGTGACACTATAAGCATAACTAAAAAAGGCTAACTGTAAGGAAAATTCCTTTTCCTTACTTCGCATCCCTGCTCAACGCGTACATCACTGTAGCACCACAGTCAGCACCGTTACTACTCGCAACCCTCGCATCGACAATCCGCCCGCCACCTTCGCACATCGCACCCCGACCTCACGGCTCGGCGGGTAACCCGCGCTCCGGGCCTCCGCTTCGACACTTTTTCCCAACCTCAGTCCCAGGCCCGTCGCGCGACAACCACAGTCCATTACCGTTACCACTGTAGTTTCGCTATATATTCTTCGCTCATGCCTTCGTTCATTGTACTCTTGCTTCGATAGTGCAATTCTCGTTCGTTCACTCAATTGCACTCGTAACACTTGGTATTCAGAGCCTACGATCTCCTCTCGGACCGCACCCACACCTTCGCTTCCCCATTATCTCAATTTTTGGGGGGGGGTAGACGTCTCTCAGCGACACAGCACCGCCGCTCGTAGTGCTCTCTCGTAAGCACGCACGGCCACGACCGAGGCTCTTGCTGAGCTCGCCCGACACCCCCGCCATGGCCGAATTCACGCTCGCCACATTGACGCAGGAGCAGCTCGACCGTCTGGTGCGCCAACTTGAAGTTTCGGCGCTCGAAATTGCGACGCTCACGGCGGAACGTGACTCCGCGCGTCAGCAATCAACGATGAACACTCCAGCGCCACCACACGCACCGACAAATGCATCTGCACAATCAGACGAGCCGATCGTCATCTCGTCCGGCACACCAACACAAAACAACAGCGTGGGACAGCGCTCAGGCGCAGCCAGCGATGGCGCCGCCCAGCCGATGCCTGGCATGGGAGGAAACAGGGTCGCACCAAGCCCGCGGGAGCCTCGCGAAGCCCGTCAGCACGTGGAGTTCGCGGCGACAAGTGGCGAACAGGCCATTATGGCACCAATGCCACTCAAGCCGCAACGCCCGCCCTGCTTCGACCCGAGCCAGCGTGGAGGTCCGACGGTTCAATCGTGGGTCTTCACGATGAACGTCTTCTTCGACGCGAATTACGTCGAGTCGGACGCAGCGAAGATTCGGTATGCCGTTTCGCTGCTAAGGGGCCCCGCCATGGACTGGTGGCGAGTCATCGTGACGTCGCCACGCGCCTACGAGCCACCGTCGCAAGAGGAAGGGCCCACGGGCCCAGCTTGTCAGTAGATCTGCACTGTGGATGCCCGATTGATCCTGGAGAGGGTTACAGGCGCGTTCGCCTGGGGGGTTATGGGCGCTCTGACCCGCTACTGAAACAAGCCCTTTTATCCCAATGGTCTAGTGGTTGGGATTTTGACATGGTATCAGAGCGGTCTCGGGTTCGATTCCCGGTGTATGCACATGTAGGCCGGTGCCGCTGTGCTTAGTCCTGGGCCTCCCAGTGTGGGGGGGTGTCAGTAGATCTGCACTGTGGATGCCCGATTGATCCTGGAGAGGGTTACAGGCGCGTTCGCCTGGGGGGTTATGGGCGCACTGACCCGCTACTGAAACAAGCCCTTTTATCCCAATGGTCTAGTGGTTGGGATTCTGACACAGCTGTCCCCTGGAGTTCATTCTGCGAGACCGCCCAATACAGCACGTGGGATGCGTGGTGTGCAGGGCTTCGGGCGCGCTTCGAGCCGATCGCGGCTTCTATTTCGGCGCGTCAGAGATTGCGCACTTGGCGGCAGCTTGGATCGGTTCAAGACTATACGAGTGGTTTTCTCGCATTATGCGAGCAAGTCGGCTACATGCACGAAGCGGAGTGGGTGGACCGTTACGTCGGAGGGCTGAAGCCGGACATCTCGCACGAAATCATGCTACGTGGGCTCTCGAACTTCAACGAGATTCTCGCGCTCGCCGAGAAAATCGACATTTTACGCCGTCCGAGACCGGGGTCCTACTATGGACATCGTCGTCGGGGACCGATCGAGCACGCCACTGTACACGCTGTTGCGACGAATGCAGCTGCCGCGCCGTTTAAGGGGCGCTGCTTTGCTTGCAACAGGCCGGGCCATCGCAAGAGCGAATGCCCAGAGGAGCTAAGGCGCCGCGGAGCAGGGCAGGGGAGGGAGTCTCCAAAGCAGGGAAACGCCAGCAGTCAGTAGGAATCGGGCCAACTACTGACGAGACTGCCTGCTCGCCCAACCCCACCGACCCTCACCGAGTCACAGTACCAATTCATGCTATCGATCGGACTCGGACGAATAAGGAGGGTACAGCGACGGATTGCCCAGTACTGATCCACGGGAAAATACAGGGAGCAGCAGTGAAGATTTTTATCGACGGAGGAGCAAGCCACAGTTTAGTTAATACCGCAACCGCACGAAAACTGCAGCTGACACTTAGCCGTTGCTTACCGGAGATAGACGCACGCTTAGTCGACGGCACGCCACTGGCCATACGGGAAAAGGTAGAGAGATTCAAAGTCCGCTGCGGGGGAAATTTCGGGTTTACAGAGGAAATGCTCGCAACGACACTGGATGGGCACAATATTTTACTGGGACGTGATTGGCTGCGACGGTATAACCCGCGAATTGACTGGACGACGGGTAGCTGCACCGTGCGAAGTAGTGGTAACTGGGTCGAGCTACCTCGCTGGCAGTCGCCCGAGTCTTCAACGGTACACGTCAACGCCATCACAATGAAACGGGCTGTCGCTGCTGGAGCTGACGTGTACGCAGTAGACATCGCAGTAGTAGAGGAAGCAGAGCAGCCGAGTGATTTCAAGAAACTGCTGGCAGCCGTACCGCCCGAATTACAGGAACTGTTGAAACGATACCCTGGGATTTTCCCCGACGACTTACCGGAAGGACTGCCACCTCAGCGAGCACCTGACCACCGAATCGAATTAGAACCGGGGGCACAGCCAACCGTACAGCGCCAGTTCAGACTGACACAGCCCGAGCTCGACGAACTAAGGAAGCAGTTAGATTACCTGTTAGAGAAAAAATTCATCAGACCGAGCTCGTCACCGTTCGCCGCACCGATACTATTCACGCCGAAAAAAGACGGAGGTTTTCGCATGTGCATCGACTACAGAGCACTGAACAGGGTAACAGTCAAGTCGCGGTACCCCATTCCCCGCGCCGACGAACTGATCGACCAACTGCGAACGGCACGGGTTTTTTTCGAAAATAGATTTACGGGGAGGCTACCATCAGATTAGGGTCGAACCATCGGACTGCGCCAAAACAGCTTTCAGGACTAGGTACGGGTCGTTCGAGTACACTGTGATGCCATTCGGGCTGACCAACGCACCGGCGACTTTTCAGATGACCATGAACGAGGCATTTAGGCCGCTCTTAGATAAATGTGTAATAGTTTACCTCGACGACATCCTAGTGTACAGTCGGGATAAGCAGCAGCACTTAGCACATCTGGAAGCAGTGTTTAAGGTTTTAGACGAGCACAGATTACTGACCAAGGGTTCCAAGTGCGAGTTCTTCCAGGATAGGTTAGAATTTTTGGGGCACGTTATTTCGGAGGCTGGAGTTGAAATCGACCCAAAGAAGCTGGATACGGTAAAAGCGTGGCATCCCCGGACAAACATCACGGAGTTGCAGAGCTTTTTAGGGTTCGTTAATTATGTGCGTCGGTTCGTCCCCGATATGGCACGGTTAACTGCCCCACTGACGGATTTACTGCGGAAGGGGGTCGTTTTTACGTGGGGGGAGAAAGAGCATGCTGCCTTCTCTGCCCTGAAAAATGTTCTCTGTTCACCGCCCGTCCTGCGCATCGCCGACCCACACCGCCCATTCGAAGTAGTTACCGACGCAAGCGATATCGCCATCGGAGCCGTACTGCTACAGGATTTCGACAATGGCCTACAGCCTATCGCATACGAGTCACGAAAACTGCATCCGCCCGAGAAAAATTACCCGATACACGACCGCGAAATGCTTGCGATCGTGCACGCGTTCAAAGTATGGCGCTGTTACTTGACTGGCGCGGACGTGACAGTACGGACAGACTATAAATCACTACAGTATCTTCGCGCACAGCCATACCTCAACCCACGACAGATTCGCTGGCTCGATTTCCTCGAGTCCAACTTTCACTACACAGTCACTTACAAAAAGGGAGCCTCAAACATCGCCGACGCACTGACCCGCCCCACTGCCCAGATCCACGCAATACTACTCGCCCAGACAAGCCCGCTACTGACAGGCCTATTCACCCACGGGTACCAAACGGATCCATTCTTCACAGGAGGAAATTCGCAGCAGTTCGCAGCAGCAAAGGGAGTCTATTACGTAAAAACCGGGACTGACCGCATTTGGATGCCTGGGTATACACTACTACGGGAATTACTGTTACAGTAGGCACACGACAGAGTTACCTCGGGGCATTTCGGAGTAGAAAAAACACGGCAGCAGCTGCAGCGGTATTATTACTGGCCCGAAATGTTGACCGACGT